GCTCTCTGCCTCTCTTTGCCAAGGCCTCCTTCTCTCTCCGGGGCGGGGGCTACGTATCCTGGGCTTGAAACTCGCGGAGGAGGGTGAATACTGGGACGGTGGTGGTGGTGGTGGTAGTAGTAGTAGAAGTAGTAGTAGCAGATGCAGTAGTTCAGTAGTGGTAGTAGCAGTTGCAGTAGTTCAGTAGTGGTAGTAGCAGTAGCAGTACTAGTAGTAGAAATGTGAGCAGTGGATGTAGGAGGAGAGGTTGTAGTAAATAGCAATTGTAGTAGTAGTAGAAATAATGTCAGTGGTAGCAATTGTTGTAGTAGAAGTTGCAGCAATAGTAGTAGTTGTTATAGCACTAGTAAAGGTAGAATGAATTCACTTGCCATATTCCCAATGGCAGATTTACCAGTATCTGTATATCTGTAGCTCCCCCTATGCATTGCAAAAGAAACTGCCCTCTTTGCATTCGTCACGCATACGGAGGCATAACAGATAAAAAGTAATAAGATAAAAATTACAGATAAAAAAATAATAATAATGATATAAGAAACCTGTCACAAAGCCGTTTACCAAGGGAATGCGCACAACTGACCGGTCAAGCAGCTACTTGAGGCAAGAATCGACCTTCATGCCCTCAAGGATTCCGGATACGCGAGGAGACAGATCCTTCTTCGAACGTCAGAATCTTTGAAATTCTGGCTCCGTGACATCGGGGGTTTAAACGTAAGCAGCAACTCATAAGCAGGACGAAGATGAATAGATAGGGCGGCTTCAGAATCACAGATTTCGATCAAGGCTTTTTCGCGAAGGGAGGGAGGGAGAGAGGGAGGGGGGGAAGAAGGGAGGGAGAGAGAGAGAGAGAGAGAGAGAGAGAGAGAGAGAGAGAGAGAGAGAGAGAGAGAGAGAGAGAGAGAGAGAGAGAGAGAGAGAGAGAGAGAGGAACGGAGGAAGAGAGAGAGAGAGAGAGGGAGGGAGGGAGAGAGAAGGAGATATGGAGATGGAGGGAGGGAGAGAGAGAGAGAGGGAGAGATGGAGAGAGGGAGAGAGGGAGAGAGGGAGAGAGGGAGAGAGGGAGAAGGGAGAGAGGGAGAAGGGAGAGAGGGAGAGAGGGAGAGAGGGAGAGAGGGAGAAGGGAGAGAGGAGAGAGAGAGAGAGAGAGAGAGAGAGAGAGAGAGAGAGAGAGAGAGAGAGAGAGAGAGAGAGAGAGAGAGAGAGAGAGAGAGAGAGAGAGAGAGAGAGAGAGACAGGCAGAGAGAGAGAGAGAGAGAGACAGAGAGAGAAGGGTAGTAGTAATAATGGTATTAATAGTAGTAGTAATAATAGTAGTAATAGTAATGGTAGTAGTAATGGTAGTAGTAGCAATAGTAGTATTAATGGAAGGAATAATGTTAGTAGTAATGGTAATAGTAGTAATGGTAGAAGTGGCAATTTTAGTAGTGATGGTAATGGTAGTAGTAGTAGTAATGGCAGTACTTGTAGTAATGGTATTAATAGTAGTAGTAGTAGTAGTAATGGTAGTAATAGTATTAGTAATGGTAGCAGTAGTAATGATAGTAATAGTGGTAGTAGTAATAGTAATGATAGTAGTATTAGTAATAGTAGCAGTAGAAGCAATGATAGTAGTATATCAATGGTAGTAGTAGTAATTCTGTGATAGTAGTAGTAGTAGTAGTAGTAATGGTAGTCGTAGTAGTAACGATAGTAGTAGTGGTTATGGCGGTGGCAGTGGTAGTAGTAGTAGTAGTAGTAATAATAGTAATAGTAATGGTAGTCATTGACAGTAGCAGTAGTATTGGTATCAGTATTAGTGTTGGTGTTATGGTTATTAAAATCATCAGTTTCATTATAATCATCATTATGATTAGCATCTTATTCTCCATAATTATTCTCATTTTCACCATCATTATTAGTTACCTTTATTAGAATATTTCAGAATTTATGTCTTTGTAGAAATCAAAATAGTTGAATTTATGGTCTTCTGATTTTGATTTTTATAAGCTTTTGTTTACTTTATCTGTTTATTGCCTTTCTTTCATTTAAAAAATTTGTGTAACCTTTTGTCGTAATTTTCAATTCTCATATTTATCCTTCTATTGTCTTTTCCTTTGAGATCTCAATTCATACAAAAACATGTAGTTCTTTCATTTATTTTTCATCAATATTTTTTTTTTTTTTTTCAAAGTTTATGGGGGAGGTCAAAACAGAAAAACAGAAAAAGTTCCAAGTCTCTTTTCGATTTATTTATTTACAAAAATACGTCTTTATCATTCAACACAAAAAGGTAATGATTTCCCGGATGCCACCATTTAGCTACCTCAAATCGGGCCTGACTTCAAACCACGTCGAGTCACTGTACGAAAATGCATTCATTTTTTCTCTCTCTTAAAAATTAAATATATTCCATTATTCCAGATGAATTCTCATAAATAAAAAAAGGGGGTGGGGGAAGGATTATTATAAAAAAAAAAATCTCTCGAATACGGAGAGTATCTTTAAAAAAAAAGATTTTTTTTTTTTTTTGACTGGGTGGGTTTAATACCATCAAGAAAATCTGTACAAAAATTATATGTCGAAAAAAATGAATTGTCTTAAAAAAAGGATTCGTCCTTGACACAATTACAGCAAATATTCCTTATTGCAGAAGCTCTTAATTTGTCATCTAAAACTTGATAAAATAAATAAATAAAAAAAAAAAAAAATGATTTTTTTTTTTTTTTGTTTTTTTTTTTTTTTTTTTCTTTTCTGTTTTCTCTCTCTCTCTCTCTCTCTCTCTCTCTCTCTCTCCTCTCTCTCTCTCTCTCCTCTCTCTCTCTCTCTCCGTCTCTCTCTCTCTCTCTCTCTCTCTTTCTTTCATTTTTCCTTCATCTCATTCACTCGCTCTTTCTCTCTCAGTGAGGGTGACAATACCTATACAAGTCTGTTATTTATAATTATTATTTTTTACATTTTTTTTACAAAAAAGTCTGTAAACAAACACAAAAAAAGACACAAAGTGATCATTCTCCACTTTTTTTTTTCTTTTCTGTTTTCTCTCTCTCTCTCTTTCTCTTTTTCTGTTACCTTTTTTTAACTCTCACAATTTTACAACATGAAGTTTTCGGTCTTTTTAAATATATTTATATATAGATATATTCACTTTGGAAATAATGACAACAAAGCACAATATGTTCAGAGATATAAAAAAAAAAATGATTTTTTTTTTTTTTTTTTTTTTTTTTTTTTTTTTTTGACTGGGTGGGTTTAATACCATCAAGAAAATCTGTACAAAAATTATATGTCGAAAAAAATGAATTGTCTTAAAAAAAGGATTCGTCCTTGACACAATTACAGCAAATATTCCTTATTGCAGAAGCTCTTAATTTGTCATCTAAAACTTGATAAAATAAATAAATAAATAAAAAAATAAAATAAAAAAAATAAGCTCACTGTCCTACAAAATGAAAGGTGGGGAAGGGGGGGGGAGAGGGGAGACGGGCCACAGATACTACAAACATTAAAATGAATAAATATCCTATTTTAATTCCCTCTTCAAATAAAAGAAAACATTACACCTTTCATACAAACACGTTAACCTTTTCTAATGTCAAAAGAGGGAATCTTTACGACAAAAAGCAACAAAATCAAATTCAAATCCTAACCCTTTTGACTTAGATAAAAAAAAAAAAAAATCACAATTGAAGACCTAATATACAACGGTTGTCAAAAATGTTGCATCCACAATATATCAATATAAAAAAGAGGAGTGAGCCGGAGGGAGAGGGAGAAGGGGGAGGGGGGGGAGGGGAGATATTTTAGGCCATCAAAACTTGACATCGAAATAGTCGGAACAAAATATTAAAAAGTACACAAAAACACACATATATAAAAGTGAGAGTAAAAAAACAAAACAAAAAACAAAAAAAACTGATAATTACCCGGAGGCGAAACATAATATATGCAAATAGTTTTAAATGTTATACATTGAACACACTCGGACTACAAACAAGTTACACGCTACTACACACGGTCAAAAAAAAAGAGGAGAAAGAAAAAAGCAAAGAGAGAAAAAAAAAATTATATATATAAATATAAATTAATTCAAGTTTCTTCTTTTGAAATCTGTCACTGCTCTTAAAATCCACCTACAAGAATACAACTATAACAGGAGAGGCAATGATGACGAAAACCGAAAAAAAAAAAATTAAAACCCTGGCGAACGCGGGGTCAGGCGGCGGCGGCCATCTTGGAACACCCAGCCCGAACCTGCGCCGCCGTTTTTCTGGTTTACATGCGGATTAATAAACGCGAGTGATGACGTCACGTATACACAACAGAACAGAGGAGACGAACTGTCAAAATAATCGGTTTTGTTCACTTAACTTTGAACGTTTCGGAAAGAAAAAAAAGTGCCAATATAACAAGACAAATTACAATAATAATGCCAATAAATGTCCTCCAATACAGAATTAACAATAAGATTTCATCTATGGAGTTGAAGAGAACAAATTATCATCATTAGGAGAAAAAATAACTTTAATATAAGAAAGATTCCATTAAGAATCGGCTAATTCCTGGTTCAACCCAATGGCCCGCCGTCACTGCACACAACTTGCACAAGAAAATGTATAATAAATAAATAAATAAATAAAGCAATGTACAAATTAAGTTAGATTTAGGAAGATTATGAGTGACAAACATGGAGCCAGTCTGAGCATGAGATTGTTCAAACTAGATATATATATTTCTTTATTATGATTCAATGTGCGATTATTTTATACACCAATGTTCTGACGATGATCGGATGGCAAATGGAAAGGATATTTTTTTTTTTTTTTTTTTTTTTAATTCTTAGGGATGGTTTGGAAACGGCAACAGTTCCCGTTTTCTTTGCGGTTGTGGCAGTGGCGAGGGGTTCGAGGGGAGACTCCTCCAGGGCCGATGAGAAATTTTATGACAATCTTTGGGATATGCTGTTTCGTGAGGGGAACGGACACGCGAAGGAGCGGGGTCCAAGCAAATAGAACTACAAACATTTACGTTTTCCACATCATTAAACTTGACTTTTTGATATCATACAGAACTTACACACTTGAGCAATGGCTTATGATCAAATCTGTACACGGGGAGAGAACTTTTTACAATATGTACAAGCTCATATGGATAGTTCAAGCACCAAAATAAATTAAGTCCTTTACATTTTTACAGGGAAAAGTCTGGACTTGTAACATAATAACCTTTGGTTTCCAAGCCTGAAGCTCATTCGTGAGAAGAAAGCCGAGACTGCATTGTTTGGCATTGCGAGAGTGAGGTCGTGGTGGCGCGTGGGCGCGGGCGGCGCCGCCCACACTGCAGCCACCACCACGCTGCAGCTCCTGTCGCCCCGCCCGCACGCCCACGCCGCGGCGGGGCGCTGGGCGGGCGAGCCAACAGCGAGTGAGTCAGGGGCAGGGGGAGGCCCCCTGGCGAGGTTGCAGGCAATAAATAAATGATGCGGCCCAGGGCGGGCCGGGCCGGGCCGCACCATACGTACGGCCGGAGATCCTGAGTACCGCCGGCCGGAACAACACACCTCCGTGGGCGGCAGGTGACTGTACAGCGGCGCCGCCTACATTTTACATCCCCAGGATGAGACGCGGGCTTCTCAAGCCCACACTTTGGTATGCGGGAGGGACCCCGCGCGCCCTCAACGGCCACGAGGGGCAGGAGGCCGCTGCCGCCGCCCGCGTCACGCCCACGCGGGGCGGGGCGGGAGGGGGCGCCGTCAGGACACGTCGGGGGGCGGGGGCGGGGGCGGGGGAGAGAGCGCAGGTGCGGGTTACAGCACCACTAGCGGGGGCCGCCATCAAAGCGACTCCTGGGACGACGTGGAGCACTTGTCGAGCGACGCCTGGTCGGGGTGGCGGATCCGCGGGGGCGGCGGGGGCGACAGCCACGGGTGCTGCAGGATGCTGTCCAGCGACGGCCGCTCCGTGGGCCGCACCCGCAGGCACCAGCGCACCAGGTACTGGCACTCCTCGCTCACCGCCGAGCGGAAGTGCACGCGCGCCGCCACGATCTGCTCGTCGTGCTCGAACGGGATGTCGCCGCACACCAGGTCGTAGAGGAGGATGCCCAGCGACCACACGGTGGCCGGCACGCCCTCGTACTGGTTGTAGCGGATCCACTCGGGCGGCGAGTAGACGCGCGTGCCGTCGAAGTCCGTGTACGTCTTGTCGGAGAGCAGCGCGCCAGACCCGAAGTCGATCAGCTTGAGCACCGGCCGCCCCTTCGAGTCGTACGTCACCAGCAGGTTCTCGTCCTTGATGTCCCGGTGGATGACCCCGGCGGCGTGGCAGTCGCGCACGATGTCCACCACCTGAGGGAGGGAGGGAGGGGGGGTTAGTCCTCACGCAGGAAGGGGGAAACGCTATGTATATGCAGACACAGGCATAAACCGAGATACACGGTCTCTCTCTCTCTCTCTCTCTATCTCTCTCTTTCTCTTTCTCTCTCTCACTCACACTCACACACACACACTCTCATACACACACACAGCCCGCAGGCACACAGACGGGTCCTCGCTGGCGCTCACCTGCTTGAACAGCGACCGCGCCTCCGCCTCCGGAATGACCTTGCGCTCCGTGATGTAGTCGAAGAGGTCCTTGCAGGGCTCGGGCCGCTCGAACACCAGCAGGAAGGAGTCATCGCGCTCGATCCAGTCCAGGAGCTTGACCACGTTGGGCACGTGGGTCACCCGCAACAGCAGGGCCACCTCTCTCGGGGCGCGTCGACCCCCCACCTGAAGGAACACAGAAGAAAGCGTTGAGTTTACAGGAATCACATTCTCTCTACACGTACATTGTCCAGAGTATGTATATGTATATCTATATCTATATGTCTATGTATACACCTATATATAAGTATATTTATCTACATCTTTCTGCCTATATATCTATATAACAACGACGCAGAAGAGAAATCAAGAGGTCATTCATTAATCCACTTTAAAATACGAACACTTAACAACGCTATTTAAGTTATGTGCCCCGAGCCCTGCGTAGCGGTGTCGGCCAGTGCTCCTGGACCGCATTCCTGACAAGGCCTTGCCCCCCCCCCCCCCCTTTCTCTCTCTCTCTCTCTCTCTCCCCCCTCTCCATCTCATCACCTATCATCTCTCTCTCTCTCTCTCTCTCTCTCTCTCTCTCTCTCTCTCTCTCTCTCTCTCTCTCTCTCTCTCTCTCTCTCTCTCTCTCTCCTGTTTTCGAATATATTCCCAAACAACTAACAAACAAACACACTCTTTATCTGGCCATCGCGTCAGCTCCCTCCCCCCCTCAGGCATGGTACCAGGCAGTGAGGAGAACCAGCGGCTCGAGCATGACGTACGAGGGAGAGGAGCGAAAGGAAAGAGAGAGGAAGGAGGAGGGAGGGGAGAAGATGGGGTAAACAAAACAAAAATGAAGATTAAAAAAAAAAAAGGTGAAACAATGAAGTATACGCAGGAAGGAAGAAGAAAGATGTAGAAGAAGCAGGAGGAGGAGGAGGAGGGGGAAGAGGAGGAGGTGGAGAAGGAGGTGGAGGAGGAGGAGGAAGGGGGGCGACTCTGCGGTGACTGCGGCTACCGAGTGTCGTGCTTGACTGCTTCTGCTGCCCCCACCTCCCCCGCCTCCCCCCCCCCTCCACACCGCCATCGCCATCAAACCAAAACCTCCCACGAAACGCATGTCGTGACTCCACGAGGAAAAAGAAAAGAAAAAGAAAAAGAAAAAAAATACCAACAACAAACCAACCAAAATCAAAACATGACTTATCCCTCCTCCACCCCCCACCCCCTACTCTCGCCTCTCCTCTTCAAAAACATCCAAAAGGACCAAAGAGGCAAGTAAATAAATAAAAAATTACCAAGAGCCACCCACGGGTAGTGAGGGCGGGGGGAGGGGAGTGGGGAAGTGGGGGGGAGGGGGGTGTCGGCATTCCTAGGCACTGGCGGACATTGACCACTGCCTGGGCCGTCCTTCATGTGGGTGACTGGGTGGGATGGATGGATGGATGGGTGGATGGGTGGATGGGTGGGTGGGTGGTGAGCGTGGATAGGAATGAAAACGGGAGCTAGAAAGTAAAATACATATACATAATAATAATAATAATAAATAAATAAATGAATAAAAAAACAATAATAATAAAAAGGGTTAAAGAAACGGGAAATATGTGAAGGACAAGATGCTTTTGAGGCTGCTTCAGGATTAGTATAGATGACGATGACGATGACGATAATACTAAAAACGCCCACTAATGAGGGAGGCGGAGACAACAATAATATACACACAAGGACCTACGACAGACGCATGGAAAGGGAGGGGAAAAGGGGAAGGGGGGGGGGCAGAAAAGGCCAAGTCACCCTTCAAATCCCAAACAACAACAATGACCCCGCAGAGACAAACAAACACTAACACCTCGCCCTTGAAACGAGGCCCCAAACGTCCGTATGAACGGAGAAGTGCCCCCAACGCCCCCCTCCCCCCCCTCCACATCATGGTGACGCAGCCATGCCCAATACCCTCCACCCTCTCCCCCTTACCCCTCCCCCGACCCTCCTAGCTCCCCACAAGAGCGCACCTGTTATACCTTAAGCCTATTGACGGCCATAGGCCTCCCAAACCGCATTATTAATTCCCGCATCGCCTCTCGCGCTTGTTTGCCGTCTGTCTCCCTGCGTGTCCGTGTCGCTGCGATGCGAAAGAACGCGAGGGTCTGCCTCGCTGGCACCCCCCCCTCCTCCCCGTCTCTTTCCCCTCCCTCCATCTATTCCCCCTCCCTCCCCCTTCCCTTCTCCTGAGGTGATGGGGCGGTGAATTCCTCTCAGGGCTCGGGGATTCCCAAAAACGAAGCTCCAGCCTCCCACTTCTCCCTCCTCCACTGGTTTCCTCTCATCTCTTCTCACCTCTCCTCTCCTCTCCTCTCCTCTCCCTAAGCCTATCCCCATTCCCCCCACCCGCTACCCCCTCCCCCCCTCAAAAAAAAAAAAAAAAAAAAAGAACTAGACACCGTGCCCATCCACTCATACCCACGGGCATAGGCCTCTCTATCCACTCGCACCGAAACGAACGAAACGCGGACACACACACAAGTCCCTCCTCCGTCCATTCGTTTAATCTCCCCATCGGCCGAGCGGGAGCGAACAGATGCCAGGCTACTTAGAGGCCCCCGTGGTCATTCGCCTCCGACAGACAGTCAGTCAGTCACATACGAAGACCACTGCGCCAGAGAAGAGGGTCAGGGCAATGAAAATGGTGCAATAACGCAAAAAAGAGCGAGAGATCATCACGGCAGATGATGAGGGAGACTGCGGAGGAGGAGGAGGAGGAGGAGGAGGAGGAGGAGGAGGAGGAGGAAGGGAGGGGGGGAGAAAGGGTAGACGGGGAAGGGGAGGGGGGGTAGACTCGCATACCAGACAAGGCTAGAAGAATCGGGTTGAGAGGTAGGTCGGGAGGGGAGGGTGGGAGGGGCAGGGAGGTGAGGGGGGGGGAGAAAGTGGCAGAGGTAGGGTTAGAAGAGGCGAAGTTTAAAACTATAATTTACGAAGAATGGAGATGAAACAAAAATGGCAGGGTGCGAAGAAAAAGAAAGAGAGAGAAAAAAAAAGATAAAAGATTACGAGACGACCAGATGGGAAAGGATGGAAGATTCCGACACGCAGGCTGAGAAATGTGGGAGGAGATGAAAGGAAACCTGAAGAAGAGGGAGAGGTGGAGAGGCAGAGAGGAAAAGGAGAGGTGGAGAGAGAGAGTCTGTAGAGGCAGAAAGGGTGAGAGAGGAAGAGGGGCAGATAGCAAGGAGACAGACAGAAGACAGACGAGTCAAGACAACCATGATCTAACACTGGTCACTCACTACCCAAATACCCTCCCCCCTCCCCCTCGCCATCTCCTCCGCGCCCCCCAATCCCACCCACCCCTCCTCCTCCTCCTCCTCCTCCTCCCCCTCATCACCATCTCCGTAACAGGTTGGTATGCGAGACGGAGATGGGAGGAGGGGAGAGGGGAGGAAGGGAAGGAGGAGGAGAGGAGGGGGGGGAGGTTACAGCGGCGTTGCGACGTGAACACCGGGAGTAAAAAACGGAGATTGTACGCGTGCATGTGTGTGTATGATTGTGCATTCGGCGTGAGTACGAGAGAGGGGAGTTCAAGTGCGTGAATGAATAAGCAAGTCTAAGTAAGTGTGGGTAATTAAATACACGAGTGAATGAGTAAGTGAAAGGGTAAGTGAGTGAATAGGTGAGTGAGTGAATGGGTGAGTAAACAAGTGAGTAAGTGAGCGAGTAAAAGGAGTGAGTGGGTGGTGAGTGAGTAAATGAGTAAGTGAATGGGCGAGTGGGTGAGTGAGTGAGTGAGTGAGTGAGTGAGCGAGCGAGCGAGGGTACGTGCAGGGGAGGAGTCGGCCTCTGGGTACGGCCTCAAGAATGGGCACACGATGACTAGATTTCGGGGTACGCTGGGCTATGGGCGGTTCCTCACGTGACCCGTGTGGGGCTAGAATCATTTCATTGTTTGGAGTGGTGATGACAGTGGAATGTTCAGCGGGAGGGGGGGGAGGGGAAGGAAGAGCACAAGATGGTGAATTGTAGTAATAGTAAACGTAGTAGTAGTAGTAGTAGTAGTGATAGTAGTAGTAGTGATAGTAGTAGTAGTGATAGTAGTAGTAGTGATAGTAGTAGTAGTGATAGTAGTAGTAGTGATAGTAGTGATAGTAGTGATAGTAGTAGAGTAGTAGTAGTAGTAGTAGTAGTAGTAGTAGTAGTAGTAGTAGTAGTAGTAGTAGTAGTAGTAGTAGTAGTAGTAGTAGTAGTAGTAGTGGATTTTCTGCGAGCAAGAATCCAAGTAAAGAGACGCTCTCCTTGGCTGTCCTTGGCCATTGCCGTCACGTTTCCTCGAAAAGACCGACCGGGTGAGTCTGCGAGGATTCCTGCGCGGCCGCTCGCTGCAGAAACAGGACCCGGTGCGGAATCTCGGGCAATTCCGCGAACAAGCCGTTACGTGGGAAAATGGTGTTGTTGTTGTTATTGTAGTTGTTTTTGTGGGTGGAGCAGCCATGGAGGTGGAAGGCGTAGTAGTTGTTATAGCAGCAGTGGTTGTGGTCATTGTAACTATGGTGTTAGCAGTGGAAGATGTGGAATCTGGAGCAGGAGCAGCAACGCCAGAACTATTAAGCGTCGCGCGAGTTTGCTGACGCGGAAAATACCCCGAAAATTACGTCATCTTTCTCCCTTTTTTTTCCATTTTTTTTTTAACAAGCCCTACCTTTCTCATCAGCTGATAACTATCTTCTACCATTTAGGCCTAGAGAACCAATAGCCACGCCCCCCTTTAGGCCTCCGATAACAACAGCACCTCCCTTCCTTTCTCTCCCTCTCCCTCTCCCTCTCCCTCTCCCTCTCCCAGGTCAGCCACCGTCGCTACGAGATTTGCCACCATTTACAACTACCATTACTAAGCCTACTGCTCAACGCGATCTTGAATGAACAACGAACCTACACACGCACCTCCCCCCCCCCCCGACCCCCTTCACAACTACCCCCATTCATGCCCCCTTTTCCCTCCTCTGCCCCTCCCTCACCCCTACCCCCACGCTCTACTCTTAAGATTTCGTGGGTAAGACAACACACACCTCACTCCCCCACCCCCACCCCCCACCCACCCATCTGCTTTCATTCTCAGTATGTGTGTGTGGAGAAAGGAGAAAAGAGGATAAAAAAGGAAAAGGAGGAGAGAAAACGAGAGACGGGGAAAAGGAGAAGAGTGA